GCGGGACTCGATCCCGGGACTCCAGGATCATGACCTGAGCCGAAGGCAGTCGCTTAACCAACTGAGCCACCCAGGCGCCCTAAAAATATTTTTAAAGCGCTGGTATTTTTCACAACTTTTTTATAGGTTGCACGAAATGTCCTTTGGACTGGTTCATTTAGAACAGAGACGTTCTAAAGGTAGACAAGTGATGTGGTCCAAACACACAGGAAAAACACATGTGCTCTTGGTGGCATTTAACTTGAAGAAGTGACTTTAAACTCTCTTTTGGGAGACAAGAGAGACAAAAGGAGATGATCGGAAACTGACAGTTCCTCGAACATACGCAAATACCATGACAACACAACCCCTTCAGCTTAATGGTGGGGCTCCTCTTAGGGGAAAGACAAACAAAGATAAAGACATCTGTCCTTTTCTGCAGACACCAATCCTCAGCAAGACAAATCATTATGCTGATGAACCTGTTCCAGGGACTAGGCTTCTGGATCAGGGGCACTTAGGAACAATGTCAGGGGAAAAAAAAGAAAACCTCCCCTAAGTTATGACGAAAGGAAGAGAAAGGGGTGAGGAAAGAGAAAGCGCAAATCCTAGCTTGGGGGCGGGGGGCGCACAGGTGCCCCTGGTTTGGGGCACTGGGCACAACCCAAACCTGACGGGACAGGGTGTATTCAGACAGGAAGAGTTCCCATTCAAATCTCCTTTATAATTTCTTTGAACTACATTAAATCCTTGCAGCATGTTTCTGTTTTTCTCCATTTTTCCCCCCAGGCAGTAACAGACGAGCCGGGAGCGGGCTCGCTAGCAACATGAGGAAGTGACCACGGGGCATCTCTGCCGTGGGCACAGGGAGCTTTGGGATCTATTTTCAAAATATGCCCTAACTAAAACCTCATGTGCTTCTTGCCAATCTTGCAGAGGCTGAATCCACCGCACGTCGCTCTGTGAAAAGGCACCTCACCCCGTGTGGCATTTCTGCTGTCCGGTTGGGTTAACATCCCTGCTTTCCTAGGGGCCGATACCCCGGGAGCGTGGCCGGGGGCCGAGGGCGCGGGCCTAAGCAGCTCTGAGCAGGGGCTTGTCTGAGCAGGTGCTTCTCTGGGCACGGGCTTCTCACCGGGCCTGCTCCCGCTGCTCCCAAGGCAGCTCTGAGACCCAGGGGGCAGTGTCAGGTTGGTTCCTTGTCAATCAGCCAGACAGTGCCAGATCATGACACAGGACTCCCTCAGATCTTTGCAGGGGCCTCTCATGTTACAGAGGGAAAGGGGAGCAGAGGGGCCGTCTATTCTTTTCTCTCCTCAGCCATGGGAGTGTTGCTCACGGTGGGGCTGGTGGTGTTCCTGCTCCATCTCCCGCCACTGGTAAGATGGAGGGAGCCTTCGGGAATTTTTATCTACAGAGCACGGGAAAGCACTTTGCTTTCAGGGTGAGCAGGAACTGCTACTCACGCCCACTCCTCCTCAAAGTGACCTCTCATCACTGGTGGGGAGCTCAGGACACGATACGCTACACAGCTGTGTGTGCCTGACGAGGGTGCTCCCGCAGGGCCCCCGGGACCAGGATGGAGGGGGAGCGGTCTGTCGCCTGCACTGCAGTGGACAAGGGATGGCCCCGGGGACTCCTGCTGACAAGGAAAACTTAAAGGCTGCTGGACGAGCACCTGTTATCGTGGGTCTGTCTAGTGTCAATCAATCAATTTTGAAAGTGATTCTCTATTTTCTTTCACCCTGAAGGGGTGCGGCGCCACGATGAGGGTGATGAGTACGGCACCCTTTCAAAGCAGATGGAGAAGGAGAAAGGGAGGAGGAAGGGAGATCTGAAGGACCCGGGCATGCTTTCATGCATTAGACTGAACGTTTTTTGTTTTTTTTTTTTACTAAGCAGCTCCCCTCTGCTTGTTGAGTACCGAAATCTAGATCAAATTTCAAGTGCCTTCTAGGACAAAAGTGGTTAATTTGGAATAACTCTGAAGCATCCTGCCTCTGTGGATGGGGAAGGCAGTCCCTTTCCTGGAACCTTTAATCTGGGAGTGGGGCAGCAGGTAGAGTCCAGATAAAGGACTGCAAGAGTGGATCACATGCTTGAATTTATGCGGGTTCCCTACCTCCTGGCCCCTGTCCTGCACGGGACACGACTCACTGTCTGCTTCCGAGAACGATCCGGATTCGTCGCTGGAGTTGGTTCCATAAGACTGCTCACATTTAATTTGGGGTCGGACTTGGTTGTACATTCCATCTCCCATCAGGCCTGGTTCCTGATGTTCTGTGGCTAGGAATCTGGCTCCCTGGGAACAGGGCGAGGAGGAGAACTCACAGAGAGGGAGGCTGCAGGGTGAGCCCCCGCTCCCATCCTCTGCGTAGGAATAGGAGGAGCATGAGCTGGAAGTCCTGGTCCTGGTCTCCAAGGGGGGCGAGCGAGGGCAGACTTTGATCGGCACCGGGCAGCTAGTGTTGGGCCGTATCCTTCCTGGCAAATGGTCAGCCATCAGCCCACCGTGGGCGTAGGCCTGTGAGCTGGGGAGGGACTGGCCAGCCCCCACCCACAGACCCTTTGGCACCGGCTCGGAGAGGTCTTTGTCCAAACTGCTTACCCCAGAATACGAATGCACCGCAGTGCTCACTTGGTCACAAGCGCTCGAGGAGAAGATCACACTTCTCCGGTCCAGCTCTCCTTCCTGTTTACAGAGAGCCTCCAACCCAGGCCCCTTGAGGGGCGACCCCATGGTGAAGTTGGACGGGTCCTTCTGGCCCAGGTGGGGCTGTCCGTAATTCCCCGGGAAAGGGGCATAGTCAGTTTTAAGGTCACCCTGAGTGATCCCCTTGTCAAAAGGGCACGCTGAACTCCTGGCAAAGTGCTGCTGAGAGGTACTGGGCAGGCCAGACAACTCCACACTATTTTTTATGCTGAACAGAGACCTTAAACAGGAGGGGGAGGACACACTCCTGGATCTCTCCAGGCAGGTGGCCCCGGCGGCGGGGGCGGGGCCGGGGGCGGGGCTGGGCTGTTTCCGGTCCATTTCGATATCACCCGCTCGGTCCTTGCTGTCAGGCTCGTCTCCGGACAGGCAGAGCGTGATGCTCTCTTCCTCGTTCTCTTCACTGGGCGGCTCACTTTTAATCTGCCCCACGGCAAGCCCCGGCTTGAGGCTGTTGCTAGAGTTCTCTTCACTGAATGTGCTTGCAAAACCTGAGGTACTGTGTGATGATGCATTGTAGACATTCTTGGTACATGCAAGCTGGTATTTCTTGTATCTGGGGTACTGCGTTAACGCGTCCTTTTCGGAGCTCTCCTTGGTGTCGGCCGGCACATCGGACTCGGGCAGCAAAGCTTCTTCCTTCTCGGCTACTGGGATGGCGGTGGCCTCAAAGCTGATGGGGTCTGGAAGCATCTGGTCCCTGGGGCACACCATCTTGGCCGTCTCGGAGTCCATCGTCTCCTCCTCTTCCTCCTCCTCCTCTCCCGCGGAGTTCTCATGGTCCTCGTGCGGGCGCTGGCACGCTGTGTCCTTCCGGCACACGAACAGGCCATCCTCACTGTTCAGGAGCTGGGTCTGCAGGAAGCTGAAGCAGGAGTCCTCCAGGTTATGCATGCGCAGGAACTCAGCACAGCGGATGACCTCGCGGATGTTTTCTCTGCTGAGTAATAGTTTGGCGGTGTAGGCAAACTGTAGCAGAGGCCCAAAGCCCCTGGCCGTGACCTGCAAAACAAACAGGGAAATTGCCGACGTTACCATCAGCACGGCTATTGTCCCGAATCCCTCAACTGAAGCAAGATAACCAGACAGTGCTAACGTCCCAGAATAGAGACTGCAAAGGAGCAGTTAATCTCGCACTGGGTCAGCAATGCTTCTGCCTCCAATAATTAGTGCCTGTCTCGTGCATGCCTCGCTCCCCTTCATCACCTGGCACATGGCATTGAAAATCACCAGGGTCAAGTGGCTAAACAAGATGGCAACGGGCTCAGTGTTTACGCTAATGAAATATCCTGGCAAAAATGCACGGTAACAAAAAAAAAAAAATGCACGGTAACAATGGGAAGCCTATTAATTTCCTTCCCAATCAGTCCCGTGGAGAGCCCTTCTAGTAAGGAGAGCTGTGACACTTGCAGCTCACTCGAGCCAAAGAAAGCATTCTATTCTTTTTCTGGGCAACTGCAAAACTGGCAATATGGCCTGTTAAAACCTGAAAGTCCACAGGGGTTGAAAAACAGTTTTCCCTCACTTAACAAGTTAAAGAGTGACATGAAAGCAACTTCTGTTTTTCTCATTCATCAGGGTTTCCAGATGGGACTTTTCAGTCATCACGTCATACCTGATCTTACAGGAATACCAGAGATGACGACAATCCAAAGCAGTGTTCTCAACCCCAAAATCAACTCCTGGCCCAGAAAGAATGGGGGTTACACAACTAAACAAACTGGCTGCCATTTAAATGGTTGAAGTTGCTGAGCGGCACGGGACACAGCCCGTTCCTTCCCTAATTATGAGCAGCGGCTTTGCCAGGCAGCTGTCTCCTTTCCTGCTCAATCTTCAGAAGCTCAGCCTACTAATGTCAGGTGCTCCTCATGCTTTGCATTTTATTGACTGAAAATGTGCTATTTATGCACGGTTTTGCATCCGCGTCCACTCCCCCATACACGCTGAGGGTGACTTACTCAATTAGAAATACCTTGCCTAAGGCCAACTGTTTTCTCAGATGGGAGGGGATTCAACTTGCTGGCGTTCAGGGCAGGCTTCCTCACCCTGTAGGCAAACCTACATGCATCTTCTAGGTTCTTGCAAACACTGCTGATCCCATAGGAAGGGGAGGCAGATCTGCAGATCATGTGTACAAATCGAATGAAAGCAGCCATCACGGGGTCCTTGCTGGAAGCTCTAGGAGCAGTAATATCAAAATATCTGCTAAGGGCGTTGGTGCAGAGCAAGTTGAACTGGCCAGCTCTGTAGCTGACTTCCACATGTGTTGAATTCACGGCAGCACACAGAGCCAAAACTCTTGTGAAGACTTCTATCTGTTGTTTGCGATTCAACATGGACACCACCTTCTCCTGGAGCGGTCTCCCAACCTCTTAGAACAAATGATACCAGCCTCTCAGCCCCATCGCTAGGGTGAGGAAAATGCCCTGGATTTTTCAGGGCAGCACTGATTTTATATGCGGCATTCTTTCCAGCCAGGGACATTTCTTAGATATATAACTGAATGGGATTTTAATTGTTCGTATTTTGGAAGGACTTTAAATAAAATTCCAAATTAAAACAAAAAACAAAAAAAACCTCTGTCAGATAATGAGTCCCAAGATACTTGCTTAAAAAAAGAACACAACAGAAAAACATGACCATTGTAGTTCCACAAGGGCAATCATTGCTATCTGACTTTTATTATACTTAATTGGGTCTGTTTCTACCGTTAGACAGCAAGCTCCTTCAGATCAGGGATGGCTTCATTTCTCTTTATAACTCTGCACCTGATTAGGGTCTCTAACATGGTGTACAGCCGATGAAAGCTTGTGCAGTGCTGAAATGTCGTAAGTCTACCTGTGCTTCTAACATACAAGTACAGTGTACAGAACGTAACAACACGGTCTGTTTGGCGAGTATCGTCTCAAATTACTTTTGGAGCGAGTCACTGTGTAAACCAATAAACCACACCAACCGACCAGTCAGGGCACAGCAACAGTCCTTATTTGTCCTAACCCCCAGTACCACTATAGAAACGGAGCTCATCTGACCTACCTTTGTGTCCTACTAAGCTGACATGGTAATAGATGCACCAAATGCAGTATCTACTATATTTGTTTTATGTATTTTCCCCCAGGAACCTTTCAAAGGGAGTGCAAGGCAAGGAAGTACACATTTACAAGTAACCAAAGGAAGCCACGGGAATGTTACATGACCCATTCCTTCGCTGTAATGTGATTGCGCAATAAAGAGAAGAATGGCCTAATCAAGGCACTGTTGGCCCCTCCATAAGGAAGCATTTTCTGCTCCGCTCCCACGCAATCTGCCAGTTGCTGAATGGAAACACACATCTCGAGTTTGGGTAGATGTACTCAGCATATGGGAAATGGGGGAAACTCACCTCAATATCATTTATATTTTTTATAAAGTCTTCCCTTATGGTCATTCCCTTTTTATTTCAATGCCATTGGTCTCAATAAGTCCTGACACTGTCCCCCACTACAGCTGCTTTTAAAGAAAATTCCTAGAGAAGCCAGGAACACCCCTGGGGATGATTAGATCAGTCATGGGCATTGCCACCTGCCACATGGCTACAAGGAGCTGGAGAACACGCCTCTCCATGCAGGGACAAGCTGATGCGAAAATGTATGAGTGGGACTGAGGATGCCAATGAGCACAGTCTCCACATCCCAAATCACATCACCGATCCTTTTGGGCTGAGGAGACATGATGAGCTTGAAATGATCATTAAAGAGTCATGATTAAAAACAGGATTGTAGGGGGCGCCTGGGTGGCTCAGTTGGTTAAGCGACTGCCTTCGGCTCAGGTCATGATCCTGGAGTCCTGGGATCGAGTCCCGCATCGGGCTCCCTGCTCGGCGGGGAGTCTGCTTCTCCCTCTGACCCTCCTCCCTCTCATGCTCTCTGTCTCTCATTCTCTCTCTCTCAAATAAATAAATAAAATCTTTAAAAAAAAAAAACCAGGATTGTAAACTGTCATTCAAGTTCAAGGTCAGAGGAAATGGTGTCTTCACCATGAAATTTCAAGAGTCCATAACTAGTTCTCCCCTCACCCGAGTTTAAATCCTGCCTGGTCATATTCAGTTCTGCTAAATTTTTGCTCAGTTTCTGTGTGCAAGGCTTTGTCTAGTTACCATCTACCAAGTACTCTTAGTGCCCAGCACCATGCTAGCTGGTTCTCATAATGCACTGCAAAGCAGGCGTTGGAGATAAAGGAAACAGAAGGAAGGAGGTGAAGGAATTCGTTCAAGGTCATAGAGCTGGGATTCCAACCCAAGTGCTATAAGGAACAGGTAAGTACAAGACCAGGCCCTCTGCCCAAGAAACCTACAATGTAGCTTTGTAGATACACCTTAACAATGGAAAGTTAATTATCAAGTAACAACATCAGTCAACAATGGAAAGGCTATCACAAGATTACATAATGATTAGTTGTCAACTGAGAAATCCCGACCAGTTCAGGAGAGAAGGCGACTGCTGAGGTCTGTGGGGATCCCTTGAACCCTCATAAGCAGGACACCTGGAGTACAGTGAAATCGCCCTAAGTCCACTCTGGGTCAAGAGCTGCTTCGATATAACGGGTATGTCTGAACCACTCGGTGTCCCTCCCAGGAACCCATCTCTGGTACACTATTTAGGCCACCTGTGATAACTCCAAATACACAGAACAGAAAGCAAGTGCCCATCACACCTGCAGGCCATGTCAAATCAGGCAGAGGCTTTGTAAATACTGGCTTTAGCCTCCATCTTGGTAGCTTGCACTGTCTTTCCATTTTTAGGAATCATTTAAACTCACTCACTGTACTCAGAAAGCAAATATCCAGGTACCAATGGAAAGCTGTATGTTTATGACACCGTGATCACAAGGCTGCATTGTTATTTACTTTCTGTTTTTAACAAGTAAGGCTCTGATAATGGGAAAAATAAGAAGGGGTGGCAAGTGGAGAATCACACATAAAACTAACGACCCATACAAATGCTATTTAAAAAGGTAATGATCATAGAGTTAAAGTGGAATGAAGTGGCTAGAAATAGCAAACCAGTTCCATTTCACTGATGGGAATGGAGCTGTGTTCCACTGCTCTGAGGGAAGATGACGCAGCTCTCTTGCCCTCTGGTTGCTCCCAAGCAGGTGATGACCTTCTCCAGCAGCTGGCACACACAAGGCAAGTGGCCTTGACCTTTGGGTTTCGGGTCTGAAAGAAACAAGGTCTAACTACTGTACCCGTGTGCTATGGTGTGAGTCCACATGAGGATAATGTGTTGAAAATCTGACCCACTGAAACTATGACCCTTAACCTTTTGTTCCCATGGGTTCTCACGCATCCTCTCTATGCTGTTGGTGAAAGGAAGATGAACTGATGGAACACTCAGCTGGTGCGGGGCACGTTTGGGTGCTGTTTACAAAGCTCCCTCTCCTGAGGTACCAGGTTTGCTGCTGGAGAGAGCCCCTGAAAGGAAACATCTAACAGTTTCCTCGCTCTGGATTATTACAGGGATCGGGCAGGTGGGCTTCAGGTGTCTATGGAAAACAGGGCTTGGGAATTTTTAGGAGACTTGGAGCAGCATTCTCTACTTAAGCCAAGGTCTTCTCAGTTGGTTCTCGCAGGACATACACGCGGTTGTAGCACTGAGCTCATCTGCAGGAGGCTGATCAGATGAATGCGGAGCTCTCGGGACTGTTTTCCAGGGGAGGGATGGCACACTTCTCAAGGCTGCTTAACTACAGCTTTACAAAACACAGAATCTTCTACCTTCAGCCATATCATGCATACTTGCCCGATGAAGCCCGATCTCTTATATACATGGCAGGGGCCGGGAAGACGACGGGAACAAAGCTATGCTGGATGGGCTTTTTAATACACTGAGCCACGGCTATCCCTCTGGGTTCTATTTGCACAGCAAGGCACTTGTCAAAGAAAACAACACTGGGGACAACTCACTCTTCCTTTCCACCCCCACACTGCACTGCATCCGATTCTGCAGAAGGGAGACTGATTT